GAATTAATGTAAGTGAAACATAATAACTCGGTTTGGAATAAAACATTAATATTTTAGGCTTAATGTGGTATGCAGTATGGCTATTGGCCAGACATAGGTAATGGGAGACCAGCATACTGTGTTGCCGTCTTTTCGACAACTGTTATTAGAGCATGCATTCGTGGTTGCATATATGAGGGCCGTTTGTTCTTCTTATGGAGTGTAGAGGAAAGGAGGATAATCTTATATGGTTGTTTACACCAAAAAGAGTCCACCAAAATCTCAGAGTAGTACAGAGAGGACAGTAAACAATGTTTGTGTCACCTTGATAATATGGTCGAGAATCGCATCAAAGATTCTAATTAGAGAGAAATAGAATAATATCTGTATATTTATTTTTAGACAATTATTTAAATTTTTACTTAAATTTGTTCAAGTATGGTGGCGTTAAAAGAGACTTTGGTTTGTAGGGTTTATTTTATACTAAGAAAAAACTTGTGTTTTATGCGGTTCCAAATATAAAAGAGAAAGTGAGGTTACGTTTCACTTGTTAATTCTATTTCTTAACGAAGAACATGGGCGTCGTTTTAGGAGAAAAAAGGAAATTAAAATATGAATATTAAAAAAATGAAATTATTATTATTATATTTAGTGTTTTAAAATTCAAATTAGAAGAAACTTATGGTTAGAGGCACTTGAATGTACTGAAATGTTAGAAGTTGAACGAATATATTACATTTGTTCAGGGCGGCTTTGCTGCAACAAATATATTTATGTTTGTGCGTTTCTAAATAATATCGAGCACTTTTAAAAATTGTATCTTTACTTTTTATGAACTTTGTATTACACAAAAAAGCAGGAAAAAGTGAGTAGTAATAGAAGGTATTGTGTTTAATAAATTTGGCGAACCAATCATGTTTTAGTATAGTAATTTCCTTAGATACTAAATCATTTGATTATGGGCCAAGTACCTACTTCTTTAACCCAGTTATGCCTGATTTTTTTTTGTTTGTGTTATAATTTTTTTTATTAAAAATAGGATAATTGGGACTTATCGAACATATATTTAAAGGTTTATTAAAAGGACAGTAGGCAAATAACATTAAAAATTAAAAATTTATTAAATTTAAAAGCACAAACTTTCGAATTTTTTTACAGTAAAAATAGGTAAATTTTATAGTCTTTAGGTATTATGGTAGGGTTTGAAGCAGATAACATGCAGAGCTACATCACATTTTTCACACCTGGTTGACACTTTTTTGTGGCAAAGGCGACAACGAGTTTGCTTTTCTTGTGTAATAATCAGATGGTCCATGCGATCGTACCTCGAATCAATATTTTCCAGGGACGATGGTCGGGATCTCTTGGCAAATTTTCTTTGATGCCGTTCCAAGATGGCAGCTGCCACTCTCCTACGAAATGACAAGTTATCCAATTTGCCTCGTTGTGTCTTGTGGAGTTGCCAAGCATTATGGCAAGCCAAATCTAACATATGAAATAATACCACTTTTTTCCTCTAAAAGCCACTCGATATAAGCTGATATTTTGGTCTGCCCTATCAACTCCACCCATGTGTTTATTATAAACAAACAGGTTTTCTAGCTGATCCATCTTGATCCTCTTTTTCTCTTTCACTGAGTATCTGCTTACAGGATGAACTGGATTTATAGGAACACCGTTCGATGGTAAACTGACAATGCTATTATCATTCCATTTCAGTACAACTGTACCATTCTCATTTGACTTAAAATCCATGAATCCCCGCTCTTTCTTTTTCATTTCAAGATGGCTTATCAATTTGCAGTTGGATGTCCGGTTGTCTCTAATGGTACCAGTAATGCGAATATCTCTGCGTTTTAATTCATCTGTCAGGGGGATTGTTGTAAAAAAGTTGTCACAAAAGATATGGTATGGGTACTTTTGTATAGTGAGAAGCGTGTCAGCATATTGCAAAACAATTGAAGGTCCCAAGCCAAATTGTTGGTACTCTTCTCTAATCTCACTTCCAGCGCCTTGATAAGCTTCAATCCAGACTACGTAACCCTTATTTGTGGTACCTGTCCATATTTTATAACCGTACCTGATGGGCTTACCTCTTATAAATTGCTTGCACCCATGCTTGCCATAATATGGTACCATGAACTCATCGACGCTGCGATTCTCAGATATAGGAGCATACATTTGAAACACCTTATTCATTTCGTTTATCAGTGGCCGTATCTTTGCATATCTATCCGATTTATCTAATAAATTATTATTACAACAATGTAAGTTGCTGAATATATATTCAAATATATCTCTGGATAACGCATTTACAGCCAAATCGTTACGCGTGTCCTTATTATTTTCCCAGAACATTCTGCGCCTTGGAACCGGCACGTATCCGCTGAGCAATAAAATTAAAAAAAAAACTATCTATTTCGTCTTTTGTTATATTAGCTGGTTTATTATGTTGAGCAGCGTAATTATTGGAATGTTCCACAAATAGATCAATGGCGTGATCCCAACAACAATGAAATAGTTCGATTGGAATATTTTCATTTGAACAACCTTGTATAGGGGGAACTTCCACTTCTGGGTTTTGAATGTCTCGTTTCTGCCAGTTATAGGTTCTTTTTATTGGCGCCTTTCTCCTTGTTTTTTGATTTCTAACAACTTGACGTTCTGAAAGCGGTCGATCATCATCGGAGTCACTTTCTTGAATATGAGATGTCGCCTCAGCCTTGGGAGGGGGAGTAGATTGTGCTATTGAATGTTTTCTAAACAGCTCTGCTGGAGCTCGCAATTGAGATCCAGGTAAATTGTTGATGTTCAATTGCTCCTCATCCCCAGAATCCTCATTAGTAAGGGGGTCGCAAGCATTTACTGGAGACATACTGGCTATTTCTATCTCTTCTTGATCGTCATTATGGGTATTCTTCGAGAGACCCGATAATTTCATCTAAGGTGAGTCCCCTGTAAAAAATAATCTTTATTTGACTACTGTCCTTCTAGAAGAATACTTACTAATTTGAAAGTATACAAAAAATTATCCAACAGAAAAATACCAAAACATGAATAAGACCTTCTCTTATAAACAGCACATAACTTATATCATGAAAAAAGTTTCTATTAATAGGTTTTTTAATTATTTACTCACCCTACTGGTCGCAAATCAATTGGTGCACTCATTTTTTCACAGAAATATCTTTAATAACTGCTTCTGATCAGATGTAAATAGACAGACTGAAGAAATCGTTAAAATGGACCCTTTAGTAAAATTGTTATCAGTGCCATCTCTTAAATAAAGAATGAACTTTTCGAAATGTGGGCAAGAATACTGTAATTTTCGGTGTCCTTTTAGAAGGGCAGTAGGCAGATTTGAGTTAAAAGTATTAAACTTGGCAACAAATAAATGAAGTTATAGTTTTAACAAAAGTACCTCAACACTTCAATATTAAGTTCAAGGTACGACTCCTGAAACTCTCATCAACAAAATTTGAGTCACCATTAATTAAGAAGTAAATCAAACATTGGATTTGATCTAATCTGATACATTAAATTGTATATGAATACTTATTTCAGAAAACCTACATTGAAGTTTCTCGAAAATCGGTCATTACGAAGGCTTTTTTGTTGCCAACAGTACTGTTACTTACGAAACAAAAAAACATTACAGGCACAATTAAGATGAGTGAAAATATTAAAAAATTTGTGCAGAATTGCCGATTTGAAAAGGAAAAAAATGTTATCTGTTTTTGGACGCATACTGTATATTTGTACATGGTCTAAAATATAAACTATCATCAGTAATATAAGAATGTTTAGTTACCTAATTTAAATAAAGAAACTGGATAATTTATATTTTAAAGGAAGTCATTAGAAAAGTAAATAAAATTCTTATATATTTTTTTAATATCCTGAAATACTTCTACTTATGCTAAATGATAAATATATATTGATTTGTTTTATTCTTATTAGGTATATTTTCTCATGTTTAAATTAAATGCTTTTTGTATTTCTTCAGTTCTACCATTGTATAGGTTTTCAATAGGTATAGATATTTTATAGAATTCCAAACTCTTGCTGTAATCCTAAATGTTTTAGAAACAATAAAATATATTTGCATTATTATTATATTTTTGACATGACAATAATGTCATATTTTGTTTTTAGTTCAATAAAAACGTACTTATCTTTTAAAACATTATTTTGTATTTTTTTATCAATTTGCAGTCACTATTTTCACATTTAAAATAACCCAATGCAATCCGTTTAGGTACGCTACTGCTGAAGATTCTAATATGAGCAAGAAAGCATGCAGAAAAAGAAACATGTATTTTATTAGATTGACATCAACATTGTATAGATTTATGTCAATATATTATCTAAGACCAAAATGTATAAAATTAAGATGGTGCTTTTGTACTAGAAATGAAAAATTCAATGATATACAGTCATATAGATTGCTCATCCATATGTAAATCAGACGACGAAAAGCGAGGCGCCATTTATATGTAAAGAATTAAAGCACTTTTGCGAATGGTATTGTCAGGGGACGCGCAAAAGGTGGCAAAACAAGTCGTCGAACTCAAATTTTTCTCGTATATTATCCATTTTTATAAAATTTAATGTTCGGCCATGTATTTTTAAGTAACCCAGATCTTTTCATTAGTAATAATTTTTGTGAAACGTAAAATAATTTTTTTTAATTTGTATACAACTTTATGGGATACCCTGTATATCCCCGCGATATTGGTAAATATCTTGTTGTAATAATTATAAACTCAAAAGCTGTAAAACTAAATAGTACATTTAAAATAGATTATATTTATTTTTGTACCTCAATAATTATGAAAATCTAACCCTTAAAATTTATTGGTTATAAAATCTACCAAATTCTATTACTTACATGGAACTAAAATAAAATAGAAACGTACGTATAAACCTTTATTCCAATCAAATAACAACTCAGTAAAGAAAACAATTCAACAACTAAAAAACAAAAATACGTAACCTTTAAACTTCAGTCAAATTCAGAGTTATAGTTTGAGTTCTCCCCATCCCAAAAATATGTAGAGTAAAGAAAGGAAATCATACAAATTCATACCCATTTCCTTTAATTCATCCAACATTTTTCTGACTTCTGGAAGTTTTAAAGCGTTTTCCAAGATATTCTTAGATTCGGGTTCGGCCAATTTTTGTAACAATACTTGCATGTTCGGATTCTTCTGCATCTTTTCATTGAATTTTACCAAAATCTCGGTAACGGGAATAACACCTTCAACCTCTTCAATGAATTTCGTCAGATTTCTTTTAGCGTTCTTGTCCTCGATTGGTCCAATAGTGATATTTTGCACAAAAGAATCTAAACAGTTAATAAGTGTATCAATTGGCAAACCGAAGGAACTGAAATGGTTCTTCAACGCTACCCATTCAGGCTTTGCTTTTACATCTTCTACTAGCTTGACCCATTCTGGTTCTGTCATGTACTTGACAGCCTGTTTAAATCCATCATCATCTTTGAGGTGTTTCATAGCGATTGCGGTAATCTTGTCTCTGGGAATCATATTCAGAATATCTAGAAGATCAGTTTTCAAAAGTTCGACATCAACTTCGGGTGCTTTTGTGTCTGGACCTTCGGTAGTTTCAAGAGGCGAACCAAAAACTGCCGCTCCCGATAAAAGGTAACTGCAGATGATGAATAACCACTTCATTTTTTCACAAGCTTTCAAATATTAAACTCAATTATGCGGAACACAACGTTTTCGGTTTAACAGTTTTGAGAGTTATAACTATTTGACAGTAGGTAAATATAATGTTGCCAGGATACGGTCTGTTTTGTTTCTGATGTTTGAAAATGCAATCATACCTTTTTATAAAGTGTCGATCAGTCATAACAAATTGTTAGAATTCTTAATGACGTATTATTTCACACGTTTTTATAGCATTTTCTATTAAATCGATGAAAATTAGAATGGTACTTTAAATAGTTTTCGTATTCAATCTATTAGAAAAAAAAATCGTGATGGAAATATCGAAAATAATAATAATAATTTGAGGATAGCGATTAATAAATGAAAATATGTTTTTGATGTCTATAGTGCACTAATATGTTTTTATTAGAATTTTTTATCTATTCAAATATTCCTTGGAAAACTAATAATAAACATCTAACGTGGTGTAAAAAATTATTTTCTGAATATCTTCTATGCTTGTGGCCGTCAAATTAGGTTTCTAGAGTAAAAAAAATACTGAATGTTTGCATTTTTTATTCCTATGCTAGGAGGTGCCTATCGAAGGAGGATGCCCAATGAGTCCTAAGTGACGTGGGGGTAACCCACCCTCCACACGTTACAGATACAGATACAGATAAGATCAAATGATGGGGTCTATAATAAAATCAGCAAACTGAGCAGTATTTTTTTTAAATTACTTCTATAACTTGTTAGGTAAGATATGTGATTCATAGGGGTTTATTCTGTAAAATTTTAGTTAATTTTAACCACCAGGTGAAAAGGTTATTAATAACTATGACGTTTAAATTTTTACCCAAATCTCTATTCGATTTTCTATCAATTTAATTTTGTATTATTAGCTATTTTATAACCAATCCCAGATAAAATAGACATGGCAACCATGTAATATACCAAAAATTGAATTAAAATTATGCCCACGCAGCATTAAAATTAAGAAAAGGAAAATATTTGACCTGTAATAATTACTAGATTTATTACTAAAATAAGTTATAATTTTAACCAAACATGCCATTTAATTGTATGAAAAAAGTTTTTGATGAAATTAAAAAAGAATATAGTCGCCATTAATAAACATACACAAAAATAAATAAAACCAAAAAATGACAATAGCAACAATTAATTTATTGATATAATTTGCAACTGTTTTTTATTTTTGACCAGAATTTTTATTATTTTGTTTAGGGTGGGACTTTAACTGGAACTAATTTTCTAGAGCCGGAGGATAAAATATTTGGATAAAACCCAAAAACAGGTCGATTGAGTTTTTGTGTGGTCTTTCCAGTCATATTCATTTTTTTTTAAATGGGAAAAACTATCCTGTCAAGAACTGGTAACAGAAAAAAGAAAACTAAAAAAGAAATGGCAGATGACAAGATCACTAAAAGATAAAAATATATTAAATAGAGCTACCCAAAGACTGAGAAGAGAATTTCTAAATCACAAAGAAGAATCCTTCAACAGATACCTAGTAGGGCTAACAGATGATAAAGAAACTGATTATTCGCTATGGAAGGCAACTAAAAAGATGAAAAATTCGTGAAAAACTGTCCTCCTGTCAGAACAGCAGATAACAAAAGGGCAAGAGACAATCAACAGAAAGCTGATATTTTCGCTGACCACCTAAAAAAGACGTTCCAATTAGATGAAAATCAAGACACTTCTAATGAAGTTACGAAAGAAATTCAGAAAAAAATCAACTCGCAGAAAGCCCCAGGATATGACCCTATTACTGGAGAAACATTAAAAAAACTACCATGGAATGCTATTGTTAAACTGACATACCTACCTCATAAATGCAGTATTTCGCCTTAAATATATACCTGATGCGTGGAACATGGTTCTAATTCCTAAGCCAGGAAAACCTCCGAACGAAGTGTCATCATGTTACCGATAATATCTAAGTTATTTGAAAAACTACTACTAAAACTAATAATTGAAAATAAAAATCTGATCCCTTCGCACTAATTTGGTTTTAGAAACAAACACTCGACAATAGATCAAGTACACACGATAGCTGATATCATCGAAAAAGCCCACGAAGAAAAATATGTATGCTGAGCTATTTTTTTGACGACATTCTACATTCATATCTAACGGAAAGAATATTTAGAGTAAAGCAAGACGAGGCATTCTCCAAATGAAAGAAATTAAAGCAGGAGTTCCACAAGGCAGTGTGCTAGGACCAGTTCTTTAGTTATTATACACCAGCGATATCCCTCATAATAATGTGTTAAAATTGCAATATTGGCAGTTGGTGGAACTAATACAGAGACCTCAGACAAACTTCAAGAAACCTGCAATAGAATTAATCGATGGACAAAAAAGTGGAAAATAAAAATAAATCAAACTAAATCAGTGCATGTTGATTTAACTCTTCGACCAAATGAACAAAAACAAATAAGAATAAACAATCAAGTTATTCTGCATCACGATTCGAAATACCTAGGGATGAATCTAGATGTAAGACTTAAATGGAAAGGGCACATAAAAAAAGCGTAAAGAACTTAAACTTAAATTCAAAAAAAGGTATTGGCACCTAGAAAGAAAATCCAAACTGCTGATTTATAAACAAATCCTAAAACCAATCTGGATTTATAGCATACAGCTATGGGGATGTGCCAGCAAGAGTAATATTAACGATACAAGTTTTCCAAAATAAAGGCCTAATATGTATTGTTGATGCACCTTGGTTCTATCGAAACGATTGTCTTCATAGAGACCTGAAGATGCCAATAATCGAAGAAGAAATAAAGAGGTTTGCTGAGAAACATGAGGGTCGACTCCACTCCCACGTCAACGAAGAAGCGCTGCAATTACTCTACAACTCTACACTCAACAGCAGGCTCAAAACGAAGAAGCCATTTGAGCTAGTGTAGTGAACGTTAATGTTAGTTCTAGTGTAAAACAGTGTAATAAATCGTCACGCCAACTTGTGATGCTTTCCTATACAAACAATTAAGACAGCCCAATGGGGACTTCAGAGAAGTAATTAGTTTATAAGATTTTTAGATTAAAATTGAAGGTTAATCAATAAAGACTAGTAACGATACTCTAACAAAAAAAAATGAGATGATAGTACTTGTAGCATCTAGTCGGAAAGCTCTTTTAACAAGAAACTTTGTTAGTGAATACACAGTTTTCTTTAATAGTAAAACTGACCGACCTTAAACGTTTCATAAGTTTTCAGATTAATGCCCTCAAATACATTTTTATACACATTTCATGGTCTATTTACTCGTATCTTTTTATTTTTGATTTTTATAAAACATTTTTTTTTAATTCGCTATTACATTTACATGAGAAAAAATTGCGTAGCCAATTTTCTTTATAAAAGAGCTTTTAAAATCATCACCAATGTATCACCCTGTCTCTCAATAAAGATTTTTTTTCTCAATAGTTTTGTTCTTCCGCTATTTTCACGTAACCTAGAAACGTATCTTATTTTACACTTCACCGATATTATTATTATTTAAATGTTTATAATCCCGAGTCTAAAGCCGCATGTTGCCAATCGAATTCGTTCAGGTCTCGAAAGTTGGCACTCTAGTTCTAAATATATTCAATCGGTCCAGGTTAATCTGCGACGATGTCGTGACAAGAGCTATAGTGGCTATGGGGAACACTCAAATCAAACCCCATCCCCGACAACGAAACAAAAAGCAAGTGCATTGGAAAGCCGCAGGTGAGCTATTTTATGTTATTTTGTTGGATCTAATCTAAATAACGTGTATTATTATGTGCTGCCATAATGCTTTCATTCGAAATGAGAGTATGTTATTTCGGGACGCTTTGGTGTTGTATATTTTTATCCTCATTACACCAGTTAGTTTGGAATGTTGTTGATATCGGAGAGCTAAGACGAATATGCGATATATTGAATTGAAAATATAAAAATTGTATTTTGATCTCTTTTTTTACTACATCTATTTAAGATTCTTTATATTTCATAAAAACATTTAAGTAAATCGACTGAATTAGTGTTTGTTATTTGGGTTTCCGCTATATTTTCAGTCTAGGAAAATTTACGAAAACGATTTCAGTACAATTGTGCGTTACAAATAAATAAATTACAATATAGTAGAAGTATGAATACTCGTTAAAGAGCTCAAAACGAATTAAGATTTACTTTCGATTTTTATTTTATTTTCATTGATATACATTATGTATTAACAAATTATAATTTAACGTCTTAAATATTACAAAACTAAGAATGAATTATTGTAATTACAGTTAAAAAACAAACCAAATTATTTTCAGTCATTGTACCTACATGAGCAATGGTGTAAAATAATTTGTCGTATTTTAAGAATTTAGAAGTTAACTTTTTAATTGTTTACTCTTCTGGGGAAATTTAGGTAGATGTATCGGTTGTCACAGATTTTTTTGGCGAATAATTATCTCAGGTAACAAAAAGTATCGAGAAAAATGTCAACAAGAACTGTCAAGAAGAAATGTCAAAAAGAAATGTCAAGAAGAAATGTCATGAAAAAGTGTCAAGAAGAAATGTCAAGAAGAAATGTCAAGAAGAAATGTCAAGAAGAAATGTCAAGAAGAAATGTCAAGAAGAAATGTCAAGAAGAAATGTCAAGAAGAAATGTCAAGAAGAAATGTCAAGAAGAAATGTCAAGAAGAAATGTCAAGAAGAAATGTCAAGAAGAAATGTCAAGAAGAAATGTCAAGAAGAAATGTCAAGAAGAAATGTCAAGAAGAAATGTCAAGAAGAAATGTCAAGAAGAAATGTCAAGAAGAAATGTCAAGAAGAAATGTCAAGAAGAAATGTCAAGAAGAAATGTCAAGAAGAAATGTCAAGAAGAAATGTCAAGAAGAAATATCAAGAAGAAATGTCAAGAAGAAATGTCAAGAAGAAATGTCAAGAAGAAATGTCAAGAAGAAATGTCAAAAAGAAATGTCAAGAAGAAATGTCAAGAAGAAATGTCAAGAAGAAATGTCAAGAAGAAATGTCAGGAAGAAATGTCAAGAAGAAATGTCAAGAAGAAATGTCAAGAAGAAATGTCAAGAAGAAATGTCAAGAAGAAATGTCAAGAAGAAATGTCAAGAAGAAATGTCAAGAAGAAATGTCAAGAAGAAATGTCAAGAAGAAATGTCAGGAAGAAATGTCAAGAAGAAATGTCAAGAAGAAATGTCAAGAAGAAATGTCAAGAAGAAATGTCAAGAAGTAATGTCAAGAAGAAATGTCAAGAAGAAATGTCAAGAAGAAATGTCAAGAAGAAATGTCAAGAAGAAATGTCAAGAAGAAATGTCAAGAAGAAATGTCAAGAAGAAATGTCAAGAAGAAATGTCAAGAAGAAATGTCAAGAAGAAATGTCAAGAAGAAATGTCAAGAAGAAATGTCAAGAAGAAATGTCAAGAAGAAATGTCAAGAAAAAATGTCAAGAAGAAACGTAGAGAAGAAATGTCAAGAAGAAATGTCAAGAAGACATGTCAAGAAGACATGTCAAGAAGAAATGTCAAGAAGAAGAGTCAAGAAGAAATGTCAAATATAAATATCAAGAAGAAATGTCAATTGTGACACATGAGTATTACTGAAAAGTGAGGTTCTGTTAACGATTTAATAGTTACTACGAAAAAATATAAATAATGAAACTAGATTAACACCGTATTTTTATCAAGAATTTTCTGAAATATTAAAATACATTTACAACAGTTTGTAGTCACTTTTTGTAGACCGAAACGGTGGCCTTATCCCGGTTGCAAAGGATGGAGTGACGTCACCGATATTATAAAACCTCTTAAACTGGAAAATAGTAAAAAAAATATATAAACACCACTAAATATCAATAAAATATTAGATTTTTTAAAAAATTAATGTCGAACCGCAGCAGAATATTTTCTGTCACCTAGAATTTTTATTTTGTGACGTAACACCCCGTCCTTAGCAACCGAATGAGAATACCGTATTGTCTACGAACCATGGTATGTAGTTATGTCTAGTCTTCATATGTATCAGATACTCTGCGAAAATATTGATTGTGTCCCTCGTATCAATTAAGCTGCAAGAGAATAGTCAAGATGTCTAAATCGATCCTTCAAATTGTATCTCCCCTAAGAATTAGGATATGATGTAGCCACAACCGTCTTCTTCTATCTACTGTGCTCCCAAGTAAAGTATATGTTATGTTATTTTATGTTGGGAATTAGGTGTTAATACACTGCGACCTAAAAGATCTATTGTGCCTCCTTCTGTCGCCAATGCACCAAGGAAATGTGTCAATGCCTATGACGACCTTTCCAATCCTATTTCCTTAAGGAAGTATAGGATTTGAAGTGGCTTTAATTTAGGTAAATCTCCCTCTTCTATTTCATATCCTCCTAAATATAGTGCCCTTGGATTCTGAAGTGCTACACATTCAGTTAGGATATGAATGGAGGTTTCGTCCTCCTCCTCCTCACAGAATCTGCACTCACTATCCTCTACTACTCTCAGTTTACTTAGGTGTCCTTTTAGTCGGCAATGCCCGGTATGGATCCCTGATACAATACGTAGCCTGTTCTTGCTTAGGCAGATGCAGGCTTCCGATCTTTTTTGGTTATATTCACCCAGAAGTATGTTGGCCTGTCTCAGCCCCAAGAGATTGTTCCAATTATCGGTTCTTCTACTGCCCAATTCTTTTTTAATCTCTCCTAATATTATGTTACTGCTGATACCGCAGAACGGCTCAGGTCCTACAAAGGGTGTTTGAGCCCCTTTCCTTGCAAGACTATCTGCAATCTCGTTACCCTGTACCCCGTTACGTCCTGGCACCCAAGTCAGAGTAACTCGCCTAGCTCATCTCGTTCTAGGCATCTCCAGACCATTTTTAAGCTGATTACGTAAGAGCTTAGCGCTTTGGTGGCTGCTTGACTATCGGACATGATGATAATTTCTTGTCTTTGATAGTTTCTCTCGATGTTAAACTGGATACACTTCTCGATGGCGTGAATTTCCGCCTGGAAGATGCTTGGGTATTTTCCCAAGCTTTCGGAGTGCTTAGTTCTCGGCCCATACACTCCTATTCCAGTTCCTTCTATGGTTTTGGAACCGTCTGTATACCACTGAATAGCACGTCTTTCGGTTGCAAGCGCGATGGATTCTTGGCTCCATTCTTTCTTGCAGCACAGCTCTGTCTTAGCAGAGACAATCAATAAGACTAGTAACTCAATGTAATTTTTTGTTTGCCAAGAAGCTTAGTCAAGAACTGACGGGGTGACTGTAATGTGAGATGTAAGAAGGTGGCGCTAGTAAAACTTCTGCTTTTTCTTTACATTTTAAAGTATTGCTTTAAAACAAGAAGGAAGCCTGAAACTTCAGTTAGAGTTCCGATTTACCCTCGGATTTGCCTATATCTCTAATTAAAAAATTCTGATTTAGTGTTGCACTGAAAATGTAAATAAAGACTGAAATGTTCTTTTGTTTTACAATCACTAATTTACATTTACTAGCGAGACGAATAACTAGAATTTTATCCATTTTGATGCGAGACAATTGACCTTTCCCATTATTGATAATCTCTATTACTCATGCGCAAATTCTATTTTAGCTTAAAATCATCAAAGTTTCAATTACACATCCGCAAATGTCAATTTGTTTTTGCATATATTAGTATTGGTAGAAGAGCTAGTGACACTTTTAGATATGCTATTTGCAAGACAAAATCACAATTATATCGTACGTTCTTACCTTAAAGGAGCCCTTGAAGAAGACGTCTTAAAAAAGCCTATGTAGAAAATGCTGTCATAGAAGATCAAGTTTAAAACTTTTTTTTTACATCAAAAGTTAATAGAAACAAGTTTGCTGCCACCTTCTTGAAAATCAATTCACATTAGGTACCTTCTTGATTGCTGATAGGGCATTTTATCGCCAGATCTATTGCAGTAAACGGTTTTTAATATTAATAATATATATTAATCTATCACAAAAAATATGAGCCTTGCGTAAATAAAATATATTATTATACCTAATAAATTTTTTTCAAACTTAAAACTTTTCACCTCTTCCAAGATGGCAGCAAACTTTTATATATTTTTATTTTCTATATTGGCTTTTTTTAAGTGGTCGTCATCGAGCGCTCCATAGTTGGTGCCTGTGCAGCAAAGTATTTCCATCTTCTACAAGGTAAGAATTAACGATACATTTATAATTCTGCCCCGTGCAAATGTGTACCAAAAAAACTATGACTGGGTCCCCTACTATATAAACTCGATGACAGTTGCTTAAATTAACGATGACATGGGGTAATCGCGGTAATCTGCGGATCCAAAGGTCCCAGGTTCGAATCCCACCGTTGGCCGGGATTTTTTATTTCATTTAATTATTTAAAATTAAATCTGATGCCTTGGTAGGATTCCCCACTCGACCATTCACTGTTGGACTGTTGGGTTTTAATTAACACATGAGAGACAAGTTAGCGCCGAGTTAAATTATAGGGAGACAAGTTAGCGTCAGAATAAATTATGGTGAAACAGGACAAAAAAAAATAGATAAATTAGCGTGTGACAGAATATTGCAGTATTCTAATTAAAATTATAAAAAAATAACTAATTTAACTAACCTGTTTGCTGTTTGGCTTGGAGCCTTATCTAGATTTTTATTTTTCTTAGGTTAAGTAAATAATTAGTTTTTTTTTAATTAGAATACTGGATTTTTACCTCGCGCTAATTTACCTCGCTCTTTCTTGACCAGGT